TCATTGCTTTAAATCAGTGCACGGGCAAGCACTCTCTCGCAGTCTTTCACTCTCTCCATCAACTCCATTCAAATTGCATCCAGAATAGATCATCCTGTTCTAGATTGATATATAGCCCTAAATATAGATGTCCTAGTGTACCTCTTTCAGATAATAAATGTAATGCAGTATTAGCCTTATATTTAGCTAATTAATGATGGGTTATGCATTATAAGCTTCTAACTTATAGCCTCTGTCTCTTGTGCAATACGCAAGCACCTGTGCTCCCCTGGCCTCTCCTTAAAAAACACTCCTTAGCTCTTGGAGTCCCATGCAGGAAAAGCTAGACTAGAATAGCTTGATGGACATTATTGTTTTTGCATTTCTTATACCAATAGACTATTCGAAGAGGGACGCAAGCTCTTTTTTGCTTAATGTTAAATACAGCAGCCCATAGAACTCACAGATATTTTGAAAGAAGAGCGAACGCGCGATGGCGGTAGGCTATAGCAGCTATTTATACAGACCCATAACCATTCAATCTGAAGAGAAGTGAAAGCCTTCTGCATCTAATTATAGTCCGATATAATTCAAAGATGTCATAAGAACTATGAAGACAACGAAACGTATTTTATTTAACTGTTGAAAGCGAGGAAGCAATGAAGCAACAATAGAGAAAGAGGAGGTAGGCTAATAACATTATGGGAAATATTATGAAAGGTATATATGCGTAAGCCTACTAATTATACAAATAGGCTCTATTATATTTCAAAATTAAAGTCACATTCGCTAACCTATACTTGTAACTTTGTAGGCCGCATGTGCTGCAGCAGAATCACATGTTCTCTTCTCCTTTTCATGGTTTGAATGATGTGCGTAATTCCAGTCCATATAATACAGTATAATACAATACAGTACAGTAATACAGTTCACACTCAAAAAGATTAGCCTACTGGAGCTAGTTTAATTTATTTACCCAATATAGCATATAGCTAGCTACATTTATGGGCTTTTATGTTTTTCTGTCATGCATAATGTGTGGTAGCCTACACATACAGTGGGGAGAACAGGTATTTGATACACTGCCGATTTTGCAGGTTTTCCTACTTACAAAGCATGTAGAGGTCTGTAATTTTTATCATAGGTACACTTCAACTGTGAGAAACTGAATCTAAAACAAAAATCCAGAAAATCACATTGTATGATTTTTAAGTAATTAATTTGCATTTTATTGCATGACATAAGTATTTGATACATCAGAAAAGCAGAACTTAATATTTGGTACAGAAACCTTTGTTTGCAGTTACAGAGATCATCCGTTTCCTGTAGGTCATGACCAGGTTTGCACACACTGTAGCAGGGATTTTGGCCCACTCCTCCATACAGACTTTCTCCAGATCCTTCAGGTTTCGGGGCTGTCGCTGGGCAATACGGACTTTCAGCTCCCTCCAAAGATTTTCTATTGGGTTCAGGTCTGGAGACTGGCTAGGCCACTCCAGGACCTTGAGATGCTTCTTACGGAGCCACTCCTTAGTTGCCCTGGCTGTGTGTTTCGGGTCGTTGTCATGCTGGAAGACCCAGCCACGACCCATCTTCAATGATCTTACTGAGGGAAGGAGGTTGTTGGCCAAGATCTCGTGATACTTGGCCCCATCCATCCTCCCCTCAATACGGTGCTGTCGTCCTGTCCCCTTTGCAGAAAAGCATCCCCAAAGAATGATGTTTCCACATCCACGGTTGGGATGGTGTTCTTGGGGTTGTACTCATCCTTCTTCTTCCTCCAAACACGGCGAGTGGAGTTTAGACCAAAAAGCTCTATTTTTGTCTCATCAGACCACATGACCTTCTCCCATTCCTCCTCTGGATCATCCAGATAGTCATTGGCAAACTTCAGACGGGCCTGGACATGCGCTGGCTTGAGCAGGGGGACCTTGCATGCGCTGCAGGATTTTAATCCATGACGGCGTAGTGTGTTACTAATGGTTTTCTTTGAGACTGTGGTCCCAGCTCTCTTCAGGTCATTGACCAGGTCCTGCCGTGTAGTTCTGGGCTGATCCCTCACCTTCCTCATGATCATTGATGCCCCACAAGGTGAGATCTTGCATGGAGCCCCAGACTGAGGGTGATTGACCGTCATCTTGAACTTCTTCCATTTTCTAATAATTGTGCCAACAGTTGTTGCCTTCTCACCAAGCTGCTTGCCTATTGTCCTGTAGCCCATCCCAGCCTTGTGCAGGTCTACAATTGTATCCCTGATGTCCTTACACAGCTCTCTGGTCTTGGCCATTGTGGAGAGGTTGGAGTCTGTTTGATTGAGTGTGTGGACAGGTGTCTTTTATACAGGTAACGAGTTCAAACAGGTGCAGTTAATACAGGTAATGAGTGGAGAACAGGAGGGCTTCTTAAAGAAAAACTAACAGGTCTGTGAGAGCCGGAATTCTTACTGGTTGGTAGGTGATCAAATACATATGTCATGCAATAAAATGCAAATTAATTACTTAAAAATCATACAATGTGATTTTATGGATTTTTGTTTTAGATTCCGTCTCTCACAGTTGAAGTGTACCTATGATAAAAATTACAGACCTCTACATGCTTTGTAAGTAGGAAAACCTGCAAAATCGGCAGTGTATCAAATACTTGTTCTCCCCACTGTATATGTATTGGATAATGGCACAATTATTTGGGCTTTTTTGGGCTTGGGCTCATTAAATGTTATAATAATAATAATATGCCATTTAGCAGACGCTTTTATCCAAAGCGACTTACAGTCATGCGTGCATAATTTTTTTTGTATGGGTGGTCCCGGGGATCGAACCCAATACCTTGGCGTTACAAGCGCCGTGCTCTACCAGCTGAGCTACAGAGGACCAAATGTTGTTAATGTAGGGCTCATAAAATGTATTTAATATATGGTTCATCAGGGTCAGGTAGCATCAGGTTTGAATTTTCATGCTGATCAAAGCTCAAATCAAATCCAGACATATGTATATGCTTTATAATGCTTTTGAATGACACTTCCGGTTTGGCGGGAATATTTGCAAAAAAATACAGGGAAAATATTCAACCCTACTCTCCATATTCTCAAGCATAGTGGTGGCTAAAAAATTAACGGAATGGAGCTAAGCACAGGCAAAATCCTAGAGGAAAACCTGGTTCAGTCTGCTTTTCACCAGACATTGGGAGATTAATTCACCTTTCAGCAGGACAATAACCTAAAACACAAGGCCAAATCTACACTGGAGTTCCTTACCAAGCAGACAGTGAAAGTTCCTGACTGGCCGAGTTACAGTTTTGACTTAAATATATTAAAAAAATCTATGGCAAGACCTGAAAATGGTGGTCTAGCAATGATGTCTAGCAACAAAATGTAGAATAAGTCAAGGGGTATGAATACTTTCTGAAGGCAATGTATCTACCTCAATTACCTCATACCCCTGCACATTGACTCGGTACTGGGACCCCGTGTATATAGCCAAGTTATCGTTACTTGATAAAAATAATGTATGCACTAACTGTAAGTCGCTCTGGATAAGAGCATCTGCTAAATGACTAAAATGTAAAATGTAAATGTATTTATTCTTTGTGCTATTATTCTCTCTGCATTGTTGGTAAGGCCCGTAAGTAAGCATTTCACTATTAGTCTACACCTGTTGTTTATGAAGCACGTGACAAATAAAATATGATTTGATTTGACATTACTCCCACACAGGGAGAAAGCATATTTATTTTGGTTTCACACTATAATGGTGTTTTGTTTAGTAAATCAATCTAAACATGCATTCTCGCAGCACACCAAATTTGATGTTTTTTAATTCATCCCAGAAGCCTGCTTACAGTTTTTGATTGAATAAGATATGTTTTGTTATACATTTATATCAATTTAAAAGCCCTTACTATTAGAGAGTACCCAAATCAATTATTACTATTGTTAGACAGATGCTATGTGTGATGTGGCACCACAGTACAGACCCTCCATTACACATTCAAGTATACTTGCTTATTTTCATTAAATTCTAATCATATTTGACTGGTGTCACCCTCTTATCTACACTCCCACAGACTCAGTTGAATTGAGATTGGCCTGGTTCCGACAGAGTACATCTACCACTCGACTGAAGTAGAAATGACATATAATTCATAAAATGAAAATGTTGTGTTATATGCATGAACCAGACATTGCAATGGCTTGCAATTTACTTACCTTACCAATTCCTATATAATTATACAATATGATACAGAAAATGTGAATTTTCTCTTGCTGAAGGCAATTCTCTTTTCCAGTGGATTGTTTCCTAGCTCGCTTTCTCCTTCAAATCAATAAGCACTTGCTCTTTTATGACAATGATGAATGAAACCCCTTCTCACACCCTTATGATATTGTTTACCCACAAACATTACTTAGATGGAGATATGAAAAGCCTGGCAGTTGGAGCCAATATCATATTCCCTGAAATTCAATGAGCTAATACATTACTGAAATGGCTTGGTCATCTACAGTCTACAGGCTTGGTCATTTACAGTGTACAGGCTTGGTCATTTACAGTGTACAGGCTTGGTCATTTACAGTGTACAGGCTTGGTCATTTACAGTGTACAGGCTTGGTCATTTACAGTGTACAGGCTTGGTCATTTACAGTGTACAGGCTTGGTCATTTACAGTCTACAGGCTTGGTCATTTACAGTGTACAGGCTTGGTCATTTACAGTGTACAGGCTTGGTCATTTACAGTGTACAGGCTTGGTCATTTACAGTGTACAGGCTTGGTCATTTACAGTCTACAGGCTTGGTCATTTACAGTGTACAGGCTTGGTCATTTACAGTGTACAGGCTTGGTCATTTACAGTCTACAGGCTTGGTCATTTACAGTGTACAGGCTTGGTCATTTACAGAGTACGTCATCCCTCTAATATAAAGTCCTGCTACCACGTCTCGCTATTTCCCTTGACAGTAAACCCATACCCCCCTTCCATTCCCAAAGGACTTCCTCCAGTCCCCCTGCCACACCCTGTGTGACTTACGTGCTTCAGGCGTGGTGATGCTCTCCTTGCTGACCCGGGGCCCACAGCCCACCCTGGTGCAGGGGCGCAGGTAGAACTTGTACCTACTGACGGCCTCCAGGTTCTGCAGGACCCACGTGGTGGTGTCAGGGTTGCTGATGTCCACAGATTGCAGGACACCCACCTCCTCTGTGTCGTTGACTAAACACACAGAGACTCGATTAAACGTGTCTTCCTGTATCAATGGACACAAAGGATCTCTCTGATACAGAAGGAGAAAATAAGCATTTGATTGATCATTTGAAAAGGACACTCATAATATGTTGTGGGTTTGGTGGATATATGATCACATTATGTAAGCATGTAGTCATGGGTTTCATGTTTTGTCACAATGTTGTTTGGAACATTTGTTTTGGACTGATAACAAACTGAGCATTCTACTCAATGTATTGTCAATGAGCACTGATGAAGATGTAATCAAAAGTGCATTACAGTGGCTTAGAAATAAATGGATGCAGTATAACGTTAGCTAGTTAGTTAAGATTGAGGGGAGGACACCGGATTTTAGCTAGCTACTGTTAGCATAGCTAGCTATTTTTTACAAACTTTGCTAGCTAATGACAACATTGCCGTCTGTCTAAAGTACATTTGATGACATGCTGGCAAAGTTGTTTCCTACTAAACATTTGACTACTTTAGCAATGTCTTGGTATTTCCAGGCACTATAGTGTATCACGACTTTAGGACACCACTATTACGCCACCGGTAGAGGGCGGCTTGAGAGCGTTCATAACAATGGCATGACGCGACCGAGTGACAGCGGTGCAACCTATGAATAACATCTGATCTCCATTGTGAGTTGGTTCTTCCTTCCCTAGAGATGGAACCGGCCGTCAATGTAACGGTGTAGGTCCTGTGAAACCTGTGAAATATTAAGTTAGCAAGGAACCTCTAAGAAGCTGGGCTCAGCCCTGGAACAGCTTTGCAGCAGCCTTTTAATTCCTCTGGTGCTTCCTCTGGTGTATTATCTTTACCATTAACATCACTTCCTTCAAGGGTACTTCAAAAACCCCTCACTTCAAAAGTCCATCAGCTTTTGGCCCTCTTGTGCAGCGGCAAAATCAAAAACCATTAGGGAGAGTTGCTGTGCAAAGCTGTCGTTTAAACTTTGTAATCAGCCTCTTCGTCGTTATTGTTTCAGGCCAGGGAGGGATACACACATGCACATTATAGTTGTCCTGTGACTGTTTCCTTTGAGATGAATCTGGGCCGTTGGTTGTGATGAAGTCCCCAGTGGACGGGATAGGGTCACTTACCAAGACCATAAAAGGCTGTGACACGCTGGCCTTGATAAGCGCTGCTGGGGTCAGATCACAACACACCACACAGGCCACACCCTGACCAGACACTGACCCCTCTCTCACCAAGGGGGTCATCCTGGGTTATACTATCAATGAGTCACACTGGATATCACCTTCCATGCTTTCTGATGCCATCCAATAACAGACATTTAACATTTAGTTGTTTTCAACCCTCATTATTTTCTACTCAAGGGTATTTTTATCTGAGTTTTTGTTCTCCATGTGATCATGTTCTCATGCAACCACTTGTGAGATTTAAACCTGTGGATCTTCACGATCAAAGCTCTGCATGTATTTTCTTCGATAATAGGACCACATTTTTGCACCAGCTGTAGGAGCTAAACTAGAAACTGTCATTAACAAAGCATTAAACAATGCGCTGTAGCACCATTCATAAGCACAACAATATATCCTGGTGGTAAGATCAAGGAGTCGCTAGTCATATTGAATGAAGGGAGCCTGTTGCATGTCAGAGACTGCAGTTTAACAGGGAAGAGGAAAGATTTGTACATACTCAGCTGATACTCTAGCAGATATCCTGTAAGGACTCCATTGGCCTCCAGAGGAGGTGCCCAGGTGAGAGTGACGGTGTGCTTCTGAACATCTGTGACCCTGAAAACTGGGGTTTTCTCTGGAACTGTGAAACAAAAGAATATACAAGTAGTAAACAGTATTACAGCGTAGCACAATAAGCTTGTCTCCAGATAGTTATTTTCTTCTTCAGTTGCACAGTAGTGAATTAATATGTTCCATGGCACCTCACCTCAACACCCCCCACCCCCTCCTGTCTTACCTCCCTCTGGGGTTTTGAAGTTGACGGCGTGGCTGCCTGGCCCGTTGCCTCGCCTGTTGAAGGTCATGACGATGAGGCTGTACTCAGAGAAGGGTGTGAGCCCTGGTACCATGGCATGGTTCCGGTCCCCCGGGAATGTCAGAGTGTGTTCGTCCCCGTGAGTCTTCTTTGAGTCCAGCAGACTACGCAGCCGCCACCAGTTTATCTGACACAGCCATGACAGAGAGGACACACAGTGTTATGAATCTAACAGATCGTATGTGAGAAAAGGACAACAAATCATAAATGGGGAAGGCTATAGTCTGGGTTATAGTATTTTTCGCTAGTGGCCTGTGTAAGGTAACAGTGAGCTGCCAGCGCTAGGGAGACAGAGTGGGGTGAGAGGGCCAGAAGATCCAGCGAGGTCAGGGTCTCTCCCTTTAAACTGTGTCTGAAAGCTTCAGGACTGTTTTAAAGAATTACCCTGTAGCCTCCCAGATGTCCATGCAGCTTGTCCTTGTGAATACCCGTCCAGCTGACCTTGACCAGCGAGTTGTTCATCACCTCCACCGCTACATCATCAGGAGCCGCTGACGGAACTGCAGGGCCAAACACACTCACATCACAGTCCATTCAGCCCATATGTCACACTAAGTACCGTAAAGATCACCCCAACATGTGAAATATAAGCTCAGCTTTATGGTGAATGATCCACCAGATCATATGTGTAGTATTAGCTGGGTTGAGTATTTAGGTGCTTCAAAGATATGCTTCTGTAAAATATGAATATATAGATCAGTGACTGCAATCTAAATAATGTGATATACCACTTTCACAAGGTAGGAACTAGTGTGAGGCTCACTGCTATTGCCTAAGCGATGATACCAGACAGTATGACAACAAAGTATCACGAAACCTCTAAAGGAAGACAACACATTCTTAACAAGGTTGAGGTGCTTTTGTATCTATAACATTGTATTTGACATGAGGTAACTTCCTGAGGGCAAGTCCAAAATAAATCTAAAGATGAAGAGTGAAATATAAATAAATAAAGTGAAGTGAAGTGGTTTATGACTTCTAAAAGAAAGTTTTAGCTCAATAAAGCTACTACATGCATATCACACAATCAAACATTGGATTTCATCAGCTACTTTGGCCTTTTCAGGGAAAATAGTCCATATTTTATGGACTGTAGCCTACCATAGACACAGCTAAATGGTACATACCATACCGTATTAGCCTTGTACATTTCAATAGTATCATTATTGTGAAAAACACATAAAAACTCTCTGTGTTTAAGTCACTCACAGTCCTCTCCAGAGTAGCCCATCACCACTTTGGGTTCAGGTCCCCATCCCTGGTGGTTCCTTGCCTGGATCCTGATCTCATATGGCACAAACGTGGGAGTGTCCTTCACCACAAACGAGTGTCTTTTCACCACATGCTCCTCCCAGTCCTCCTCCACATCCTGTCTCTTATAACTCACCTTATATTCAAGGCCTGGCCCATTGTGTTCAATGGGGGATAATGGCTGCAAGAGTGGGGAAGGTAAGAATATTATATTTCCTTCTTCATCTAGGCTATTGCAGGATTATAATGGCAAGCCCATACACTTGGATCCTAATAAGGCTTCGATAATATAAAATCAGTAAAACAATTAGACATTTGGCTGGGTGCTGGGTCCAGGCAGCTCTGAGGCACCCCTCTGATATAAAGAGCAGGCTTCACAGATTATAGAGAGATCTAGTGCTTTCCTCACAATTGCCTGACCATGATGGGAAATAGAACAAGACACTATTATCCACAAAAGCAAATCATTAACAATAAGGGAGATCATAAATTCAGAAGCTGTATTACTCTGCAGGAGCAGGAAGATGATAGTGGGAATGAGATTCATATTTTTATAATAAAGCTGAATTTATTACTGTACATGTAAGAACTCTTCTCTCCACTCTTTTCACTTTCTAATCAAAGCACCACCATGAGCTGCTTTGATAGCAATCCCATTCACCATCAAAAATAGCTCTTCTAAAGTTATGAATCAACAATATGAAATATCAACAGCAGGGATATTTGATTTCTGAAGGATTCTTATTTATAATTGCATGTACACTCTTAGAAAAAAGGGTTCCAAAAGGGTTCTTCGGCTGTCCCTATAGGATAACCCTTTTTGGTTCCAGGTTGAACCCTTTTTGGTTCCAGGTAGAACTCTTTTGGGATCCATGTAGAACCCGCTGGGTTCTACATGGAACTAAAAAAGGGTTCTACCTTGAACCAAAAGGGTTTTACCTGGAACCAAAAAGGGTTCTTCAAAGGGTTCTCCTATGGGGACAGCCGAAGAACCCTTTTAGCACCTTTTTTTCTAAGAGTGTACAATATTCTAGCTTATTTTCTCTTTGAATAAAGAGAGTCTTTGATTTCCCCAAAAATATTCAGTATTCAGAGAGGTGCATACGTATTCAGGGAAGGTACAGTATATTGAAGCAACAACATTCTGTTTCTTACCTCCCAGTTGATATCCATTTCATGTGGCAAATGACCTTCGATTTTGATATTTTCAGGGTTCTTGTCAGGTGCTGGTGGGAGAGAAGAAATATGGATTTTGGCAGAAATCTCCTGTGAAATGTGCAATCAGAGTGGAATCAATTATCTCAGATGTTTGAGTGTTTTAAAGTTCAACGAGCGGCAGAGGCAGCTCTGGTGGCCTGTACGGTGATATGAAGGAGGAGGACAAGGCAACATGAGTGGAGGACTTCCTACCTGCGGGAGGGGTCTTGTATCTCTCTGTGGGCTTACTGGGGCGCCCTCTGCCCACTGCGTTGACTGCAGACACTCGGAAGCGATAGTCGACATGTCCGTAAAGTTTGAGGACTGCCGAGCCGTGATTTCCAGGAACTCTCTGAAGCTCTCTCCAGGTCCCCGGCTCCCACTGGCTCTCCTCATACTCAATAATGAACTCTGTTGACAGGGTGAGACACACAGACCAGTCACCAATCTGCCCAATCCTTTTGCCAAAGGGGCTGCTTACCTAATAGCCAGCTGTGCAGAAAACTATTCAGACCCTGCACTGAGCAGGATACTTGCTCCAAAAGATTAAACTACTACTTTGTGTTGGGATGTTGACATGAGACTAACACAATAATAAAGTACTAATTCCATTTTTCTTAGTAGATATGTGCCATGTTATTACAGGCCTGATGCTCCAAAATGCATGCAGAGCTGCTGAATGTGTTTGTTGTGTTTGCAGAGCCAGGTGGATGGCCAGACTATTACCAGTGGTTGAGCTGTTGTGGTCCTCCCCAGGGATCCATTTGAGCTTCACACTTCTATCCTTGTGTTCAGATAGCACCAAGTTCTCAGGTGCATCTGGGATGTCTGGAAAACACCACCACAACAACAACATTGCTTTGATAACACACAAAGACAGGGCATCCTCTGGAGTGGAAAAGGACTGAGGAAAAACGTTAGAAGCAGAAACTGACCAATGGAAAATAAAGAAAGTGAAAACTGTAACTTCACGTAGTTATTTGTTGGCAGGTCATCGACATTTTTTTGGGGGAGGAGGAATCAAACAATGTAAACGCATTTTACTGTAAATGCAGAGCCATGGTCTGAATCTGAAGACATGTGTAATCATGTTCTGCTCTGAGTAGTATGCCATGGCACGCTTGGCTTCAACATATGGATCCATACTGTGACATGTATTTCTGTTGTGCTGGGGGTCATAGACCCTTTGGGTCTGACCAGGCTTTGATGTATTTTACATAATTTGCTTACCCAGCACTATGAGTAATGCAGAGGCAGTGTCCTGGTCCATTGGAGTACTGGCCACACACTTGTACATGCCCTGGTCTCTGTGGCTTACGTTGACGATCTGCAGTATGCCATCCTCTATGAAATATCTATCGGCAGAGAAAAAGAGAGACAACCTATTGATCCGTGCCATCTAAAAAGCAAGTGAACTTTCCGGCTAGGCTTATATCTATCTGTAACACCACAAGAAAGGCTTCATCTTACCCAGAATTCTCTGTGTGGTTTAGTGCTATCTCCTTATCGTCTTTTTCCCATACAACCTCAAAGTCGCCACTGAAGGAGTTGTCGTACACCGCCAGGCAGGAGAGCTGGGCTGTGCTTCCTATTAGGACCTGCAAGTCTTCTGGGGCCTGGAATATCTTGGTGGGATCTTGGATAGTTCAAACACACAACTGTATATGTAAAGGGTTCTGTTTAGGATCCATTTTTTTCTGACTATGTGACTGAAGCAGGGACAACTAGGTAAGACAGTTTTCAGGTCACATAGTCAGAAAAAACACATGTTCCTAGACTAGTGTGTTAAAAAACTGCTGTCTTGTATTGAGTTTTATACCTTTAACATCGAGTAAGGCAGTGATAGCAGACTTCCCTTCAGTATTCTTGGTGTAACATGTGTATTGGCCCATGTCCTCTTTTTCCACATTATAGATCTCCAATGATCCATTCTGGTGAACTGTAAACCTTGGTCCCTCAACAGACCCTGTTGAGTCCTCCTTGTTCCTGTAAAACATTCAAAGCAATCAATTAAAGTCTCCATTTGCGATTTAATTCAATTACAGAAGAATGTTGTTGAGCACTTCACAAGATAACAATGCTACATTAAAGTTTTTATGTAGGTGTAAGATGCTTCTTTCTGTACATTTCCTCAGTAAACAGTGGAGCACCAACCAAGAAACAGATTCTGTACACAGGTGTTTCATAACTATCTGATGACACGTTGATATCTACTGCTCTCTACTGGCCTCTGAGAGGACTGGTTGGAGCTAGACTAGCCTGGTATTGCCTGGGCGCCAATGATGACATCACATGACAGCAATAGCAGAATGAGCTGGATAAAGCCCATACTGATCTGGGAACAGGGTTAGGGTGAGTTTACTCACCAGGTAACAGCAGAGGGTGGAGAACTGAAAACCTTGCAGTGCATCACTATAACCTTCCCCTCCACAGCTGAGTACTCCAGACCTTCCTCTGTCAGGATCATAGGAGCCAGATCTGTGGGGAGAGACCTCCCAGTGAGTGATTCAGGGTTTGGGATATGAATGAGAGAGAGATTGATTTTCTAACTTCCATACAGATATGAAGGGATTTAAGTGTGGTCCTCCACTTGAACAGACTCCGTCTTGCAGTATTTGGCTACAAAGAGATACAAAGAAAGTCCATTAAAGCCTAAATGTTGTGGTGAAAATGTTATCTTCCTTCTTTGTTAATTGCCATGTATTTGAAAAGAATGGCTGGACTGTCAATTAAAATATAAAAAATGAATAAAAAATGAAAACAAATGGAATAATGAGTGCTACATTTTAAATAAATGTTTCTTATCATTTCTAGCCAAAACATCCTGTGTCTGTCTCACTCCACAGAAGCTGTGAATTTGCATCCAGAAACAGACCAGTGACAAACTCCAGACATTTCTGAAAAGCCAAAGAGAGCAAATTATTTTTTATCTGCTCTTGTAAAAGCAGCACATGTTAGTGTTATGGCATTGAATTCTGAATGGACTGGAGAGACGTGTTAGCATATAAATGCCTGGGAGCAGGCGGAGTGAATCCCAGGGGATGTGGGTGGGTAGTCCGTATGGAGGACTGTGGCACTCAGACAGCCATTCCTTCACCATGGCCGAGAGCTGCAGGGCAGAGCCCGTGCCAGAGCCTTCTCTCAAATCAGACACAACACCACTCACAGACAGTCTTCCACTGCCTAACGCCAATGTCTGGCAATTACAGAGAAACAGATGCTGCCCGTTCCATTGCCAAGCAACCAGGTGGATTCTTTACTGCACTCATACAATTTCATACTTAATGTGTAACTATAAATAAACGGGCATGTCTGGTAAAACAGAGTGATTAAGGCTGAGATGTAGCAACTATTTATTTGTAACCAATAAAACTTAAAGCCTCAGAGGAAAGTCAAGGCTATTTTCAGAGGTGGAGAGGAAAACCAGTGAAGTCCCATAAACTTACTCATGATCATGATATTGGCATTGGCCAGCAGGGTTCCATGTCTGTTGGAGGCCTCACACTGGTAGACAGCACTGTCAGTCGATTTGGCGTTGTGCAAGACAATGGTGTCATCAGACTCTTTTCTGTTAAATGCTGGGACCTCTGCAATCAACAATGATATCCATTAACTGTGCATCAATAGGCAGTCCTGGAGATAAGACATGCATGTCTTGTTGAGGTACACTGAGAACATACCCTCAAGAGGCTTTCCATTCACCCTCCATTGGATGGTGGGCTGAGGAGTGCCAGTGGCGGAGCACTTGATGAGCACCTCTGAGCCAATCATACTAAGCTGGCTCTCAGGCTCAGACACCCACCGAGGAGGCTCTGGAAAGACCAACATCAAAGACAGACATAAACCATCTGTAACCAGGGAGGGCACCAGGCCACAGTTTACACATCTCAATAAATGGCTAATTTATTTATTTATTACATGGAAATCAAAATACTTATGATGTTTGTGTTATCCACCCAGAGACAATTCTGAAATTGTGACTTTTTGATGCCCTCTTGAAAAGCAGTTCATTCAATGTACTCTAGATGGCACTCTTTCTCATGAAAATGTGTTACTATTATGATGTACCTTCCTACAGTTAAACCTAAATTCAGTTTAAACTATACAGCTTTTTTTCAGATACACATACCTTCCACTGATATGTCAAAGTAGTGGACGGCCTCTCCGTGGATGTTCTTAGCCTTACACTTGTACTTCCCACTGTCGTCTTCATCGACCTGGTCAATGCTCAGGAGTTTCCCATGGTTCTCTATTGTTGCTCTGTCAGGCAGCCTGTGGCCTATCTTCCCCCACTCAATCTTGGGAGTTGGACTGAATAAAAGAAGAGGGTCAGTGAAATGTTGTATGAGCAGGTTGTTGTAATTGCTTTACATTCAGTGGCATGTACAGCAGATATCATGTTGAAACAGAGGTAGGTTTACTTACAAGCCCTCTGCAATGCACTCCAGTAGTAGCTCATCACCTTTCACCAGCTGTGTCTCCGACTTGACACCAGAGGGCATCAGAAGACTTGGTTTTCTCTCCACGATTGAATTGGCTTTGAGAATAGAATACAAACAATCAGTGTTTTTATGCTTAGTTAGTTAGTTAAACTGGTAAATACTAAAGTGGTTTTTCAAAGAAGGCAATGAATGGGTCGCTTGAACTGTTAACCTACAATGTAGTCTTTGGATCCCCATATCACACTCTGGTATGGAAAAATGGAGGGGGTGTTCTAGACAGATATATGGTATGGAACGTAACTTACCATGACCCGGACTGCTACTTGAGTCACTGTTTGAATTTTCTGAAATGAAGGTGGGTAACATATGAAAATGTACAAAGCATCCATAGAACAAAAGTGACAGACAAGGCGGTGGTTTAAATGAATGAAAACATCAGTGGCATCAAGAGCATGGCAAAGAAAACTTTGGAGATGCTGTTGGATATTGGGAATGTTCTTAATCATGCACATGATCATAATGACAAATGCATTGGATCAGAGCTTGAGACCATTATGGTGATCAAAACAAAGCCCTTTCCTAATCATAACAAGCTCTGTGCTGTAGCTGAGATCATAAATAAACGTAATCACAGTCTTTTAGATTGACACCTACTGCTAGTGACTATGACAGACATGGCATTCTTCTGTACGATGGTGCGTATCCTGGGGAAGGCAGCGAAGCAGCAGTAGTCTCTGTGGCTGTCCTTCTCCAGAGCATTAGAGAAGAACAGGTCGCCGTTCAGACCCATGGACACCCTGGCATCCTGCTCTATGTGCTGAAGGCCTGAGGAGGTGGAAAGAGGAGGAAATTCCATATAAACCACATTTGAGTAGGTTTTATTTGAGCAATTGTGCGTCAATAAAATTGCAGGTGTCAACACAAAGGATTGGACATGACTTAGACAGGCCTCTTCCAGGGCGTGTCAGGGTGTCAGCTCTGGGAAGCCATTAGTCACTTACCGATGGTCATCCAATAGATCTGTAAAGGAGGGATTCCTTTAGGAGGGTTGCACTCCAGAATGACAGGCTGACCCTCCTCCACCTCGATGGGATCAATCTTCTCCTTAGGAAACTTCGGTACATCTATTCCACCACCCCCCCACCCCCACCAAAAAAAAAGTTTACAATGATTTGTCAGTCATTTAGTGTAGTTGCCTTTCTCTCCAGCAGGTGGCAGTCCTATGATATTAGTGTTTTGTGCTGGTTGTGTGTGGAGGTGTTTGTGTTGAGCCAGTGAATTGGATTTTACAACACCTTCTTTAGATATTGGCTTGTCATTAGTACTGTTGTGCTGCATGTCAGCCACACTGAATGGTTGAAGCACGAACAAATTTAGTCACAGTTCCCCTCTGTCTGGATTTCTTTGAAGATTGTATGTACTATGCTTTGGAACTATATGAAAATGTACCAAGGGAAATGATGGAGAGGCTAGATCAGTCTTCCTTCTGCCACACGGTCTATATCGGTATAGATGAGAGGCAACTGGGTGTGGAATGCTCTGGAGGTTCAATGACTTTCTGCCATGGCTAATACAACAAACAACTCACGATGGAGCGACACATTGGATTCCAGGCCCTGAATCACTTTGAAAGAACTGTAATGGAGCACCAAAGATCTTAGGGATGTATGGATGTATGCTACTCACGGGGCACAACAAACTTAATCTCCTCCGTTATGGCTGTCCCTAGTTTGTTCGAGGCATAACAGCGGTATGTTCCCTGGTACTCCGTGAGGTTCCCAGTGTTGGGGATCACAAACGTCCCCGTGTTTTCCTCCTTGATCAGCCTCGGGTCCTGGTAAGGGTCAAACTCTTCCCCATTCTTCGTCCACCAGAATCTACAAAATCAACAGTTCAATCAGTCACTGATAACATTCAACGTTAACCTTGAAAATGTCTCGTGTTTCAGCCAAAGGTACACAGTGTGTGTTTGGCACTCACAGTATGTGCAAGACTTCACATCATGAAATCAAACACCCAAAAACAAGGTGACATGCCAAATCGATGGCCGGTGGTAGGCTGTCTGTTGGGCTGCTAGCGAGCTCTCCTGGGTAGTCCCTCTCCCATCTGCTGGGTATGGAATGGTAGAGTAGGATACTCATTACTCACTCTGGCTCGGGGTTCCCTTTGGCTTCACACGTCATGGGGAAGCTCTCATCGAAGGGGAAGGCGATCAGAGAGCTGGGGGACGCCTCTGTGATGGTGGGCAGCTGCTCAACTGGACAACAGACAACAGGGACAACACTTTAATTAAGAAAACTCCATAGACCTACAGATTTCTTAAACATAATCTCTCACACTCTATTATTAGGTGTTATGGGATGATTAATTTCCATTATGATGATATTTCCTTTTACAATAGTTCTATTTCACAGTCACATACTGTTTGAACCTGTTCTGCTTTGTCCATGCTTTCTTTCTTGTTTAAGTGATATGTGTTAGAAATATACTACACAACTACAGATGTCAACAACAGTAAAACTAGCGTCATGAGGTCAGGCCAGTAGGACCAGTGGTGCAGGTTAAAACTACATGCCACTAAGTGGGTGACAGTTCAAGACAATCCAATTCTAAGATGTTGATTGTGTGAATAAAAGGAGGATGGCACATGAGATGCAGATCGTTCAAGAGATGACCACATGGTACAACTGCTGTGTTGCTGACCACTGAGCTAAGAGATTAAGTGAGGACAGACAGACGGTCACTAATGCTGGATGGGACAGGGAACGTCAGAGCAAACTTACTGTTTACATGACCTAAAACTAGAATATCCATGGCAGCAGGAAGACAACAAACAAAAACACAGACAGAAGTTTAAGCATAATCCAGTTTTGTGTTGGTTGTAGACCTTTATAAATAAAACACTTTAGCCCACATTTAAGGAGATTGCAGGAAATGAATCCCCTTGCATCAACATAAGTATGCGTTGCATTTTTGAAATGTTATTTTTATGTGGCCCCTTAAGAGATGTTTCTGAATAATTTAGATGGAGGAAAACCTGATACTCGTTTCCAAGGAAACTGTAAGATACACAGCCCCAATACAAGAGAATGAAGAAACCTGATTTAAACAAGAAACCAAAACCCAGCCAAGGATGTGTTCCATCCATGAATATAATATAACTGATTTTCAGTATGATACAGAATTACAGAATACTCAATATTTCAAAGAATACATGTGGATGGCTTTGACCATTACAGATATTGGAAAACAAAATCAATATACTATACTTTAAAAAAGCTTTATGGTATCCTGCCCAGGCACTTTAATGGAAAGTGAGCACTTACCCTCCAGTGGTATGTCTATGGCAGAGGTTGGGTGAAAAGCACAGATAATGGCGACCACACCCACCAGGAGAGCCAATCCTGGGCTCCACCTCGACGACCTCATCCTCATCACTCCACAGCAGACAGCAATCTCAGAGTTCATCTTGGGGGAAGTGACGCACGCTGCTCTCTTCCAGCTCTCAGTTCACCTCTATGGCATGCAGAAGACGTGGGACCTGCAAGTGCAGCACAGACAACAGAGAGAGACAGAGTGAGAGAGGCCTCCCATGAATCCAGATCCACCCACACGTCAGGCAGACAGACAGTAAGGCAATCCCACACAAGGCAGAGAGAGAACCCCTGGTGACTGAGAGAGATGCTCAGTCAGGCACAACACACGTTTCCAGCACAGCAGTCAGTCACATCAGCAGGGACCACATTCTGGGCTTCATGCTTAAAGCGGCAATCAGCCATTTCGGTAAAAAGCTGAGAGATGAGGCTGGTGAAATTTTACATTTTACATTTGTACATTTTAGTCATTTAGCAGACGCTCTTATGCAAGCGACTTACAGTTAGTGAGTGCATACATTAAACCACTCTTAAATTAATTGACAGAGCTATGGATGCAAGGACTGACCATCCATGATATCAAAATGATAGTTTTTACCATGTTTTGAGGCTATATAGTGTTTGTTTACATTTACTTTGTTTACAAACATTGGAGAAAAACAAGCTTATATGTTGGGTTCTGATGGGGGACGACAGTTGAATTAAGCTCATGAGGCATTTATATGTTATATTCTTCAAGAATCAGTGTGTACATATAATTCATTTATAAGTCCAATAATGGATGTAGCAACTACTGATTGCCCCTTTAAAATGCTACTGTGACAAAAATCTAAATATTAAGTCTCTATATCTCCCTGTTCCCTGGAGACACACATTGTTTTCTTGTTTATTGTCTGTTGGAGTGTGTGGCTAGGTAGCTAGAGAGAGTGGTTTTTCATGCACCGTAGAACAAGAGCTTAAATACATAAATACATGAGGCTGTGGCTATATTAATGCATGTTCCACATTTCAAAGTGAAAATTATGAATTCATTCCACAATGGAGCGAATTATTTACATCATTAAGATACAACCCTGCTGCAGCGTCTGTCATCAGGCTGTTGCTGTTCTGTGTCTGTGGGCTCCTCTCTGAATATTCAAAGAGAACACAACACAGCCATGATGATCACACATGGTCCTCAGACTTAGCAATAGTCTTCTTCCAAAGAATAGCAATAGTATTTGGTCCACACACATTACCACTCAACACACTGAATAACCTATTTGTTATCTGACAACCAGTGGGTCCCAGGATCATAGGGCACGGGTCATTCTCCACCTAACAGGCCAGCGGCTTGAATCCTAATGAGCTCTGTACAGTATGGCCAGAGCACAGGATTGTGGGGGATAGAGTTCTGTGCAGGATTGTCCACCTCGACGGCAATGTTGCCCACCAGCCTCTGTTCTATAACAGAATCTCTGGGGTATCTGTTCATTAGCCTCCCTCAAGTTGGCTTTGACCCAGGCCATTGGGTCATTTTAGTTGGTTAAACGCAGGGTAGCAGATACACCAGACAATGTTGAATAACAGTCCACTAGTATTAAGAAATTGAAGACAAATAAAATTGCCTATTTATAATGCTCATGGGTCTTCAGGGAGTCCTCACAAATGTCCACTGAAATAGCTGAACACTTCTCATCACAAGCACACAAATCCAGTAATTACAAGTGTTTGGAACTGGTGTCTCTTCTCGTGATGATGATGGAGTTTCAAGTTAATGCCAAAAAATGGATTTGACTGGGAATCTGTGTGTGTTAAGCTCTTTATTTCAGGAGGACGGAGCGAAACCGGACGCAAGAGATAGCCACGCTCCAACACACCCGGTAGTTTTAACAAACAGCTGGCGTTCTACTGGTGTGTTTTCAATCATACTGACCGAAAACACTGCTCCTCTTTTTGTATCTTCTCTCTCAGTTACCAAATTCAATAGGAAACACAGAGGTCAAATGGCAGTTCATGAGAAGTAATTGAATAATTGACCAAGGAGTGAAAGAGTCGATTTAATTCATTTCTTTAGGAGGCTCTGTTTTCAGATGGACACGAACCCTGAACTCTCTCCCCATGCCTCATGCTAATGGTATTAACTCTGTCTGGGGCCTTTGTGAGTCCATCCTGGTTAATCTGACCTAGTGGGTGACCTGCCTGATGTCACCGGCAGAGCCACAGACAACAGAGTGTACAATACACCAACCCCTCTTAATCACAATACTAGGCCATTGACTTTTCCTCCAACCTCAGATTGACATGGCTTTGTTATGATCCATGAGTCCGGACCGGAGAAATGCCTCAGGCTTGATAATGTTGTTCCCATTTCACTCTTTTCTCATACACTGTGATTTTTGTTGCAAATGACAGATTAAAATCAGAAGGTAGGACACAGAATACTCCTCACTTTACTAATTGGCCAGTGCTTTATTGGGAGGTTTGGTGAGTTTAAGAGGGAGGTTTTTACAATCCCTCCAAGACAATGCGTTTCTCTTAGGGCCTTTATCAACCAACCACTTAGATGGATTATGTTCTGTTCAAACTGTGCTTGATCACTTGCCATCTGATTGAATTGGTTCTCCCCTCGTTGAGCATTTAGCTAGATCCAACTTGGCCATCTGGTTGAGGGAGGTTCATAAAACATATAGGGGCTAAATTGGTTGGAGACTGGGATGTCTATCTCTAACCCGGCACACAGTATAGGCTACAGGGCCTATATGAATCAGTTGAGTGGGGCCGAAGCGAGCCTGCTCTAAGACTGCAGGCTGCTCTTATTCCTCTCCTTCAGCAGCAATAGCTTGAGCCTGAGGCTGATGATGCTGACAGCAGGTTAAAAGCTGCTCACCATGAGAAGGCCAATATGAACTCTGACCTCCCTTAGCCGAGGCTCAGAGGGAACAGAAGCTGTCCTGGGGTGGAGATAGAGGGACAGGGGATACGGACCGAATGTGGGCCATGTGCAGTCTGGAGCCATGCTTTAAACTCAACTCTGATTGACATACTGTAGCACGCTGCTCTGCTCTCGCTCTCTTTCATTTACAGTGGGCTACCTGCCAAGATATGCAAAAACCATTTCTCATTCAGAATGAGCACCATGCACAAGACTGATAACAGAGGAAATGTAAGAGGCAGGCAGAGAGGGAAGTCACGTCTACTCCATGCACGCTCTACCTGCTGGTTCATTTGATTGAGAAGCCCCATCCTCATCATTCAGGCTCCAGGCTGAATCAAAGACACCCACGTCTCCCTTCATAATGAGATGTTACTGGCACAGTGTTCTGGTTGGCATGCTTTCTATCCATTCAGTCTCCTAGTTCAGCCATCTGGTCTGGCATGGAATCCTAACATTGACCTATACACCAAAGTCAAGGGTCTGTTGATATACTGAAGAATTCACAATTTCCTCACTGGCTTTATAACAATGATTTTCTGTTCTGGAGATTATAACTACAACATAATAAAACACTTTCCACAACACTTCAACACTTTCTAAATGAGAGGAGGTATTCTCAAGATATAGACAAAGCAGTCAAATTGGCTAAATAAAAATGGTGAAGCGCCGTTGAAGGACTCTAAAGTGTCCTTAACGGTTGCCATTGAAAGATGCTATGCTGTTCAACCTTTTGCCGTTCAGTTGTCTGCAGTCTGCCTCTTTTACATGCAAAACTCTGCTGTACGACAGACAGGAGAGTGTCTGCAGCCTCTGCAGTATGACAGACAGACAGGCAGAAGTGTCTGGTGTCTGTGTCTCTACAGGCCTTCTGTAGTTTGATGTGCTGCAAGCCTGTAATGGGATTAAGCAGATCCTCTTCGTGTCAAACTGGATTAAAATATTCTCCTCACTAAAGAGCTGCGACACCGGGAAGACAGTCGCGCCATGCTCCCCACACACTCCCAGTTAATGACTGAAGTACAATTAAAACATTGGGAGAATTTATTATAATTAAACAGCAATTAGCCTGTTGCCGGTAATTAGGTATTTTTTGTTTTGTTTTCTTTCTGTTTTTGCCAAGTCAATTGCTCATTTATACAAATGATTTGAGACTGGTTCTAGACAAAAAACATAAGAGTGTAGCTCTTTACTGACTAATAGGGCTACATCAAACACTGCCCGGCCTAGACACACCCACATCTTGTTTGAATTATTTTAAAACAATTTTGAATAATTAACTACTAAAGGGGAAGTAGACCCCAGGAATTTCATTAAAAGTAGTTTTATTTGGATGCATTCAGTTAACTTACTATAATATAATCATATTTCCTGTTTATTTGCAATGGGTTACATTCTGACCTCTGGCGAACAGAGTCAGAGACGAGATTCCTCTACATGCTTATGAGCGGGAGGAGTTCATTCATTATTAAAACTTCAGCAGAAGCAGCAGGAGCAAAACAGAAACAAGGCCCTTAATGAGATTAGGAAGTCAGCGCAATATTAAATAATAAACTTGTCTAATTGAGATTTGGCTCAATTTCATTCTGTTTTAGCATGCATGCCAGAGAGCGAACAGTTCAATTACCACACCATTAATACTGCACGAGTCTGTCTGCGCATGGAGCAGGTGGATGAGGCTGGGGCTGTGTCAGAGGGAGAGCGGAGGGGGGTAGGAGAAACATGACAAGAGGGACGTAAAGGAATGAGGGAATCAAGCTATAGGGCTCTAGATGGATGTGGATATGTAGTGAATTCTGAGATTAACTGCATGGTCGCTGACCTCTGTCCCAAGCGGAGAAATTACGAATGACCTTACTGGCCCCATATGAACTGTTGTGACCAGGGACAGAGAGGGACACATCCCTGGGTGACACCATACGACCTACTATGACAAAAAAGGGCACAGTCATCGCTTTTAAAACCATCATTAACCATTCTGGAATAAAATACTGTTCTACCGTATCTATTCTGTGTCTATAGTATCTTCCTTTGTCAAAATATGGGTTATTTGATTATGTTAAATATTTAGAAAAGGATATCCAAACCACCAGCTTTATTTGATATAATAAACAGAGACTTGTCCCAAAGCCACTCCTTTATTGTCTTGGCTGTGTGCTTAGGGTCGTTGTCCTGTTGGA